CCATTTTCCGCTTCAGGATGTGATTGATCAGTCAAAATGGAATTCAGTTGTGTGCTGGGGAATTACTGTATATTCTTTAACTCTTACCAATTTGTTAGATTCTGAAGGGATATACTTATCTTATATCTTACATAAGCTAAATCCTATAATTTTCAACTATGATGAAAATGAAGAACAAGGTTAAAATCCAACTTCCAAACAAACATTTCTCTCTACTATAAACTAAAGTTATGGTTTCACTGGTCTTATTAATTCACAGGTAATTAAATTAGGTAAGCCAGACATGAGCCAATTTTTCCCAATACCAATATCAATATTTCATTACAAGGGCAATGAAATTAAAACACTGCTACAACCGACTGGTAATAAACACTGATTCTAGACAACAATAAAGAGCCATAGATCATTAGGCAGTTAGGTCTTTTTTAGTATGTTTTGACTCAAATAGCAACTCTGTCAAACTAATCTATATGCCTAAGACAAAAGATGCAGATAATTACAATTTGAGTTGTTGTCTACATTCTGAAGCTATGGATGCCCAGCCCAGGGGTAGTTGTAATGTAGAAAATATGTTACTGGAAACAGCTTTGAGACCATCACCAACGTGCAAATTGGTTATATATTTTATGCAGAATGTTCTTTCTACTGCTCAAATTCTGCAGTTGAGGTTCTTTTTAGTTTTCAGAAACTAATATGCAGACACTCAGGTATTTTTTGGTAATTTCAGAATACTAAAAAAGGGTGGGAGGCAACAGTTTAAAGTAATAAATATGGAAAATCAATGTTCATAACAAATTTTTATGGAAATAGAAATTAATAAATAAATTTTTCTACATGCTGTATACATACTCAAAATGAAGTGACCCAAACCTTCCACAAAAAAAAAGAAACCTAAAGACACAAAAAGCAAATAATTCACCATGAATATTAGAAACTATGACAACCCATGATCCTCACTTGCAAGCTGATGCAGACTTAGTAAAACATGGGAGAAAAAGGGTGAGAGATAAAAAGATATTTGTGACAATTAGTCCATCAAAGTTAGATTATGATATATATACCATAATTTTGATATCAAATAATCTTCTCTTTAAGAGAGAAAGAGAGAAAAGGAGACAGTTCAAAGAGAGAGAGCAAGAGAGAGAGATAAAGAGAGAGAGAGAGAGAGAGAGAGAGAGAGAGAGAGAGAGAGAGAGAGAGAGAGAGAGAGAGAGAGAGAGAGAGAGAGAGAGAGAGAGAGAGATTGAAAGATGGAGAGAGAGACTGAAAGAGAGAGAGCAAGAGAGAGAGCAAAAGAGAGAGAGAGAGAGAGAGAGAGAGAGAGAGAGAGAGAGAGAGAGAGAGAGAGAGAGAGAGAGAGAGAGAGAGAGAGAGAGAGAGAGAGAGAGAGGGAGAGAGTTTCCTTCTGAAAATCTTCTAAATCCAAATAATAAGGATAAATATAGCTGATGAGATTGCATCTACTGAGTCTAGGAAATGTATTTAAAAGCCGAATTAAACTGCAACTTACACTTTGCCTGTAATGGACAGAATAACAGAAAATAAAACACTTTGGCACTGCCTTTGCAACTTGATAATAGGAAAGTTGTAAAACACGTAATATTTTGGCATGCAGAGATTAAGGCCACTATGACTGGGTGGTGTTCTAGGGGCAGAGGGCATGTTAGGAAAGTACAGTGGTAGGGTAGGAGTCTAGAGATGAATTTAGGAAGGAATTAGGAAGGTTTTGGGTTTGTACAGTGATGTTCGTTCATTTCCAGGAGTGGTTTGCATAACAGGGACTTAGTCTCAGAGGGGGGCAGTCACTTTGCGAATAATTACCAACGCTTTCATATACATCATTTTAAAAAGATATCCATGTGCATTACACCGTGGATGAAGCAAGGAATATATGAGGCAAGTTAATGGCTGTGTGAAGCTAAAAAAATTTCCGCACCTTAATGCACAGAAATCACTTGAAGGAAATTGTGTAAATGTGGTATCTAAAACCAACCAGTCACTTGTCTACACTTATAATTAAGTTTTCAGGATCAATGAGTAAGTAATGAAGTAAACAGATAAAAGTAATGAAATATACAGATAAAAGTAAATAATATATCCGTGTTTAAGTCTTACAATAGGCCAGTGTATATTATAATCTGAAAAGCGAAAAGTTTAACAAAGCAATTCTTCTTTCTTTTTGTTTTTCTAAAAGTTAATTATGTTCAATCCCTTGATAACATATATTAATACATAATTTAATATATATAATTTTAAATAAAAACTACTAAAAGAAAATAAATGGGAATCACCGACCAGCCTTAGGATTTACATTAAATTACATTTACATTGCCTTAGGATTTACATTAAAATTTAGATTATGGATTTAGATTAAGATTAAGGTAGATTTAGATTAAGGATTTAGATTAAGGATTTACATTATACATTTAGATTAAGGATTTACATTAAAATTTAGATTAAAATTAAGATTTACATTTACATTGCCTTAGGATTTACATTA